CAGCATGGCTGGCTGGGGAATTCTGGGAGTTGAAGTCCACACATCTTCAAGTTGCCAAGGTTGAGAAACACTGGCTTAATGTGTTCTGTGAGCCGAGCCTGGATGTAGCACTCGTGGGAATGCATGCACAGAAATGTCAAGTTCACAGAAGCAGAAGGGGTGGGAACAGGCGGTCCTATAAGATTGCCACTTCTGATGATTTTTCAGAACCTCCCTCTGCACTTTGGAGAGCCTTTGGCTGAATGTATCTATTACCCAAAGTAAAAATGGCTTAGCAGCCTCTGCAAAACATGCAGTTAAAGTTTGTTCAATAAACTACAGCTGTCCTTATCATGGTTCAGCCTGTTGTGCAAACCTAGCCAGTTGGGGGTTATTCGATACATCATGGTTTAAAAATGTGCAGTACAGTATGGAGTGTTAGGCAATCTCACTGTTTTTTCACCAGCTTTAAGCCAGGTCTTCTTCAAGATACCGTAAGCTTGATTTTTGATTATTGTGTGGAAGTTGAAGCAGTTTTCCCTGCAATGATACGGAAGGGGATTGTCATTCCCAGTTTAGCCTACAGCCTAGATCAGCCAAATTTCAGGGGCTACCGCCTTCCTGGCCCTTATTACGTGCAAACCATGTGCACTGGCTGTTTCCTATTGGTTGACCAAAACTGATAGGCTAATTTTTCACCTCTGCAAAGAAATTTGAAATGACTTTATGGAAGAACCATTAAGGAAGAACTTGGAGAAGCAATTACACAGCCCAGAGGTTGAACCCAGTGTGAGAAAGAAACCCAGAAGGACCCCACCTTGATTTGTTGGTATAAGAGGGGACAGAGACACATTTATATCTGACTGTAATAAAGCAGCATTCCTGAAATCTCTGCAGTGTCTGTCTTTTGACCAACCCTACCTTGAAGGGCTGACAAGCTCTCCCAACCTTGCTCTGGTTGAACCTCCACAGTTAAAACCTGCAGCAGCTGGAGGATAGCTGAGCCTCTGAATTTCTCCAACCCAACACTTTCTACCAGCGCCAAGGAACTCCTAAGGCAGAGAGGGGAATCTCTTTCAGCTGGCTGGTTGGGTTCCAAGAGGTCCTCCAGATGCCAGTCGTGCCCACAGGTTGAGGAAGTGTTGTACAAGTTGGCTGAAATGGGGTTCCTTTGACAGGGAACCAAGGGAGAACGTGAAGCAAATACCTGCACTGGACTTCAAGCCTGAAGCATCTGTTGGACTGACCAAATGGGGAAGGGGAAGAGGGACTGGGAGGCTGCTGAACTGAGAGCTCCCCAAAACTGGGCCCCTTCAGATGTGTTGGACTCCAATTCCCATCATTTCAAGCCGTCTGGAGACATTGGAGCAGAGAAGGTGGCTTTAGAACTTCATTTGGTGAAGTTAGTTCATGCGTGGTTCACTTAACCATGGACTGGCATGTCGTGGGAGCATAGACAATGCTACAAAATCATGGATTGGCTCTGGGGTGTCTGCAGGGTGTGGTCAAAAAAGTCAAGATGGTGGCCATGACAGTGTGATTAAAACTCCACCCATCTGAATGGGCTTTAATGACACCATCACAGGCACCATCTTTTCTGACCATACCTTGCAGACGCCCCTGATCTGGTTTTCTGATCTTGAGAGGTTTCTCACCTTTCTCCAGCATGGCAAGGAAAAAAACTTTATTAGATATATCCAGACTTGTAATGCTTTACCCCACATCCCAGCAACATCTGGAATGCCCAAGGGATTCTGGGAAGCCTAGTTCATCAACATCTGGAAGGCTGAAAGTTCCCCACCGTTGCCTTATATCCTGACAAAATGGCTAGTAAACCCTCCTGCGATAATGTAACCCTCCTTTTCAGGGCACCCAGGATCCCAAAGTTATACTTCCTCTGCATATGGAGGTGCCATCTATGGCTCACCATGACATTCTCTTTCCTTTTCCCAGCACATCTGGAAAACTTCTGGGCCGTCAGAAACTGATCAGCGAATCGGTTATGCAGACCTGCTAAAAGACCGACTTTCCGTTTCGATTCTCTCCGCGTGCCGGGTGCTTTTCGGGACTCAAGACTTCGAAGCCCCCGTCCCCCAGGGGCTCACCATTCAAACTCTTCCTGGAAGAAAGGGAAGACGGGTCCAGGGCGGCGGGAAGAACCCCCCCCCCCCAGCCCCGCGCATTGCAGACCAGGCTGTCCCGCAAATGCAACCCACAAAGCGCGCGCTGCGGACCGATGGTTCATCTACGCGCGGATGA